ATGTGGTTTTGGGATCTGACGGTCTGACAGGACACCCACCCCCACCTTGTTTCCACCGCTGTCTGACCGTGGGAGGGTTTAAGTGTACTCTGTCTTGTTTGTGGAGCCCGTTTCTGTTGCCACCTCCTGATCCGCTATACCAGCGGCCGTAACAGTAGGAATTGTCTTTAAAAATAATCGTTTTTAGTGTTACTAATCCGAGTTTTCGTGTGAGCAGCTTTGTGTGGAGTATGCCTAAGATATTTTGATGTGCAGTGTCCTGTCAGAACTGCAAAAATTTCAACCATCTGGCTCGAATTGTCGCCTTCAGATGAGACTGAACTTTGGTTCTTTGTGTTTGCTCATGACAGAAGCAGCGCTTGGCTGAATCAAACATGTTGCACAACAAGTTTACCTTCACGGCAGAAATGGTTCATTGATAGCAGATTGATTCTTTGTACTTTATGTTGCAAGTACTGTTAAATATCCATGTTCAAAGTGGGTGTCTTACAGGGTGGTTAACTTTGGGATGATTGGCATGCTTCTTCTTCATCTCTTCGTAGTGCTGCTCCTCCTTCTTCCTGTCTTCCTCGCTCATCGTTTTCAAGCGCTCCCTCCTCTCATGCTCCTTCATCATCTCATAGCGCTTGAACTCATCGTGGCGCTCCTTGTCGTAGTTTTCCAGATCCTTTGTTGCCTTAAATATTAAAGAGAAAAAGTAAGTTTGACATTACTTGAGCTGGGAATCTGTACTAAATACCGTTCTTGTGATTGCCTCAAAGACTGCACATTGCTTAAACTGTTTAGCACCGACATGGTCAAGAAAGTCAAAGTGGGGCTTTTCAGGTACTGACTGGTTCATCAGAAAAGTCTTTCACCAATAGAGCATATAATAGGAATGCACCGATCCACTTAATTCACTTCCGATACCAATACTGATATGTTTGGTATCGGCCAATACAGATCCGATACTGAAAAATAGTACTGAGCTCACTTAAAATGTTTCTTTTTTTAAAATACAGACAGAAATGTACTTAATAATAAATTTAACTCTGCACCAGTACAGCGCACTGAAATACACCAAAACCTGCACAAGTTTGGTCAAGCATGTAAAATCAACTTTAATTTGTTCAGTCAGTGTAGTTAGCAATACAGCCAATGTAAAATAAATAATAAAGAAACTGACAAAAACAAAAGGTTGACTACTTTGGCAAAAACATGTTAAAAATAAACTGCAGCAAACCTTCTTTCAAATGGCTCATAAAGTGCAATTAGAAACTGAAAATATAATATAAAATAAAATTAAAAAAAGCATAATGTCGTTCAGAACACAAAACCTTATGAATCAAGCACATTGTCACCAATACCTGATCCAGATGTTTTTTTTTTCCAATATTGGGACCGATACATATATTGATATCGGATCGATGAATCATCATGGCATGTAAATCGGGCAGTTAGATTTTGTAAAACAGAGTAGGAAGCCTATTCCTATTCAGTAACAGTGACGTTGGACATTTTTTGTTTGAAAATAAAACTTGGATTGTATGAGTTACAACATTTAATTTGTATTTATAACAAATAAAAGTATTTTTAAATTAAATTTCTGAAGGTCGGTATATCTTGGGTGTATTTCGGTCAGTATGTCAAAACTCCATTGTGTTCAGCGCGAACAGTGCGAGTTGCTGAAACGGTTCAGACCTCAACTGTCAACTGTGAGGCAACTTCCTCATCATTCTTAACATACAGGAAACCAATTGCTCTCTTAAAAAACGAATTATTTTACTTTTAGAAAGCCTTTCCTCTTCAAATATAGTTTCAATTAGCTACATTTAAGATTAGCGAAAGACAAAGCAGGCGGCAGCGCCAGCACAGGACTCATTCTTGTTTTGTGACACCTGTAGCTCTCTGCTGGGCCAACAATACCACTTACAGTTAACGATATCGGTCAAATCGCAAGTTTTTTTTATCTAGTTTTTTGTGCAAATATCTTAGTACACTTAAAATAAGACAAAGCTAACTTACAAGTAACATTATAGCAAGAAATAGGAGCTTGTTTTAAGTCAATAATCCCTTAATATTGATTTTTTTAAAAAATAGTACTAGTTTCACTCAGATTATTTTGGTTATAACATGGGAAAATGTCTTGTTACAAGTGAAACAATCTGTCAATGGAAATAATACTTTTTCCTTCAATATAAAGGAATTTTTAACTTAAAACAAGCTCCTATTTCCAGCAGAAAAGTTACTTTTAAGTTAGTTTTATCTTACTTCATGTGTAATAAAATATTTGTAAAAGAAAGTGAACCAAAAATACTTGGTAAGATTTTATGTTTTTGCAGTGCAGATGTGGTGACAGTCTATACGAGTCACTCTACAAGTTTCTCTAGTGATAGTACTGTAATGTGTGTTTACTCATTTATATTACCTATTTAGGAATTTTTCCGAGAATTGCTGATGGTTAGGGTTAGGAATGCACTGGTTTACAGAGTTTCTCAGTGAATGGGAGTCAATTCGAAGTCCTAATGTGGGTAGAAATGTAAACTTGTATGTGTGTACCGATTGGATGAGGCGATCCAGGTCCTCCACCTCGAAAGTGTGTGGGTTCATGTGGTTGAGGTGCTCAAACTGCTTCAGCAGGGCCTGGTGGTCCATTGTGTTCCCTGGACAGAGAACATTCAAAAGAAAAGTAAAATAAACAGAAAAAACAACAATTACCGTGTGTCTTAAGTTGTAAGCTTCAACTTCAACCAACTATTTCTGATCTTTACACATAATTCAGTAAAGGAATAATGAATAATCCTAAAAAAATTAAAGCCACTTTATGTAACTTTTATTTTTTTAAAAAGAGATGTTTTTTTTTTTTTTACATACTTGCTCTGATACAGATATTCTATGAAAAAATCGATCTCCTCCACCTCCTCCCTGAGCTACTATTGTCATCTGAAGAAATGCACCACTGCCGACCAAAAACAACCAATCAGAGTCAGGGCGCTGTCAATCAACCCCATGTACTCAATGCTAAACATGCTAATGGCGGCGATCCAACTTACCATTACAGGAAATCCATTTATCCGCCGTCATCGGTGGCCATGCTAACTAGCCTTAGCATTCACAACAACCTCTGCTAGCTGCAGCTTGCTCTCTGCTGGCACTGTAGCACCTAAGACCCGCCTCCTGGCTCTGATTGGTTATTTCTAGGTAGAACCGGGAGCACTGGGAGAAGGCAGAGGAGCTCGATTCTTTTGTTCACAGATTACCTGTCTCGTGCAAAACTGTCATGACATAGTGACAGTTTCAACAACTGTCTAAAAATTATTTTATATATTTAGAAAAGTTACATACTGCAGCTTTAAACTGGGTTTTTCTTTCTGAGCCATGTAAAAGTGTCCAGCTGTCTAAAAAAATCTTTAGAAAACGCATACAAAAAAATGTGGGGCTAAAGCTTTTGCAAGGCTCTCGAGAGCTAAAATCTTGAGTCACAGCTTGCATTTGATGATGAACAAACCTCTGACTTGGATTACAAAACACGTGTAATTTCAAGAAGCCCAGAATTGTCACTAAGCCCAGGCAGTGAGTGACGCAGCACTAACCGCCACCCTGTCCCTTCACTCACCATTCCCCTCCCGGAGGTCGTGTTTGGCTTTGATTAGCAACCGCAGCCGGTTCATCTCCTCCCTCTTCAGCTCGTCCAGTTTGCTTCGGAAATTGTGTTGAACAAAGTCCAGCTCTTTGGAGAGCTTGCCTTGCTGCGAGCAAAGAGTCCACACGGCAAAGTTTAAATTCAAGAGCGCAGTGCAAATAAACTGATTGCTAATGTTCAGTTAAGGGGGGATTTTGTAAGGGAGCGTGCACCTTGATGTCATCCATGTTGGCGTTTTTCAGCTTTTCTCTGAAGTGGGGGTCTTTCTCCAGGTACTCGATGACTTCCCTGAGGTAGCGGTCGTAGTGCAGACCGGTGTCCTGACAAACAGTAGATGACTCACGTTTATTTGGAAACCCAACGCTAATTTAGGGCCATTATAAAAATATTTTCTTGGTCTTTACCACCCACTAATGACTGCTAAAAGCTTTTTTTGTTGTTGTTTGTTTTTCCATCAGCCTTTTTTCCTCACAGTTAAGTGTAATTTACATGTCTCCGACACTGGAAACCAGGACCGGATCTACAAGGATGTGGGCTCCAGGGATGGAGCCAGTTTTGGTCCCCTATCCACTAAGGAAAATGTATTCACCAATGCAAATTACAGTACAATTAGTGCACTAATTAATGAACTGAAAAAAAAAATTACAGTACATTACAGCACATAATCCTACACATCAGCAGGTATGAACTGATGCATGGTAGGTTTAGGCCTGTTGAAATAAATCAATTAATCATATAATAAATGAAAGTAAACTCAAAAGTTTCTTTTCTCTCTCTTAAAAACTGATTGCTAAAAAGTAGTGACCTTCACCAGACTGAAGACTTTTGTCTTCAGCACATTGGTCTTGACTGGTCTATTTTTGAAAGACAATCTCGTTTATAGAGACTGTATAATTAATTTTGTTTGCTATTTTTGTTTCTTTAGTTTGGATATCTAAAATGTCTCCCAGTTCCAGTGTTAAACGTCCATCAGAAAATAAAGTTTGTTGATCGTTGAGAAGGTGTGCTTGCGTTATTATACCATTACCATTACATTACTTGAAAACCGTCTCAAAAACGACAATATTATTGTTTATCGCAATAAGTTCTGGGACAATTTATCGCCCAGCAACATTTGTCATGGTGACAGACCTAGGTAGGTTTAACACATCCTCTAGCCAATAACACCTCGTTGTTTAGAAAGAAATTGACTACGACTTCAGAATTTTTGAAATACTTGAATATTTTCTGTATTCATAAAAATCCTAAGATGGAGCACAACTCGCATGATTTGGGTCTATGAGTTTTATATAAGGTGCAATGTTTGCATTCATTAAAAATAAAATAAAAATTTGAAGCCCCTGCACCCCAAAAAAAATAAAAAATAAAAAATTGTTGCCCTGGGCAACTGCCTTTCCTACAGTCAACCTGTGTGTGAGGTGAAATTTGCTGTAAAAATCTCTCATCAAACAGCATATCCCTGCATTTGTCAAAATGCTGTGAACTCACGGCGCTCTCCGGTGGCTCCAGCTGCTCCACCTCTGGCTTGTCTTTGGCCTTCTCCACACTGATAGGCACTGAGTGGATGCACAACCACCAACTGAGCAGCACCAGCCCGCAGTGGGCCAAGGCTCTTCTCCTCACCATCTAGTTAAAAAAAAAAAAGCAGAAAGAAATTAGAGTAGAGGTGGTACTTTAGTTAAGAAGCCTGTTATGCAATTTATTGGGATTTTATGTTATAGACCAACACAAAGTATATGCAGTTTTCAAAATGTTTTAAGTGTCGTATATCTTTCTATCCATCACTCTGACACCTCTAGATAAAACATACTGTAACCAAACGCTTTCACACCTCACATGATTAGTAAATGGAGTCCAGCTGTGTGTAATTTTATCTGAGTATAAACACAGCTGTTCAGTGAACGTTCCTCAGAGGTTTGTTGGAGAACATTAGACCACAAACCAGCACCATGAAACACAAACAACATGGCAAACAGGTCAGAGAGAACGTTTCGGTGAAATTTGAAGCAGAATTAGGTTACGAAACCATGAGAAGGGAAGAAAAGATCAGTTCTGTTGAATGAAAGAGCATACCATTTAAGTTTTACCACAGTAGGACAACAACTCAGCCAGAGATGCGATGAAAGCATTTCGATGAAAGCAAAAATCGTGTGTCAGGATGGCCCAGTCAAAGCCCCCAGAACAAAAAATCTACTCAATCTATGACATGACGGTTCAAAAAGGAAGACATTTCAGTCTCTAGCTGTGCAACGCACTCAGACACATACCCAAAATTCCTAGTACTACAAAATTTTCGCTGAAGGCTAATCAACAGAAATGCAGCCAGCATTTTTTTTATTTGTAAAACAATCATTGGAAAAACAAAACAAAACAAACAAAAAAAAAAACTATTTTTATACAATAGTATGCTACTTTATGTCGTTTGATCAACATAAAATCTATTGAGGTTTGTGGCTGAAACACAAGAAAATGTTCAAAAAATATATTAATTATTTTACGACACCTAATAATTGATCATTAGGAAAAGGCTAATTCACTTAGATGAAATAGGGAATCACGTTATGCAAGTTGGTGTTAATCTTAAAACAAACTGCCAAAAGAAAGGCAAACAACACACGTGACTGCTGGATAAAGACACAACAAGCTTATTTTTTGAAACGGTCGAAACATTTTACTAACATTAAGGGTAGTAGATATGTGACTAAATACTGTGTTAAATTGGCAAGCTATGTATTAGAATCATGTAGCGATGGTGAATGCTAATTAATATCACCCAAAATGTAAAGCTACCAAACAAGCCGAAATTGTTAACTGATAAATTACCTTTGTGTCAAGTCAGACTTACTTGTCAAACACTTGTTACGTGTAGTTCCTCTTCTTATTCCTCACCGAGCTTCCACCGTTCAGTGCTCTTCGCACAGCCTGAGATTCATCGGAGCTTGTTGACAGCCGTCATCTACCTACCACCAATACAAGCCTCAGGTAGCCACAACCTAAACAAAAGAGGTAGCTGTTTACCATGGCAACGCCCCGCCCCGGCGCGCTCCCATTGGACAGAGAAAAGTCAACTTTCTTTGGAAAACTGTCGCGTTGGAAGCTGATTGGATGTCGCCCCTGCCACTCAAAGGGTCTCGAACTCTAACGGTGAGTTGAGACAAGCTGTACGTGGCGTTTCAGGCAACCCCAGACGGAAGCAGGCGGCATCTGCGAGAAAGCTCTTCATTCAGAAGTTACATTTTCATGATACGGTTTTATCATTGGTGTGTCTTCATTTGATGCAATGCCTGGGTGGCTGACAAGAAAAAAAAGAAAGAAAAACAAGATTGTATATTTTAGTGCGAACAATTTTGATAGTTGTGAAAAATTCAGGCTTGCTGCACCTGCTACAGCTCCTCTACCTGTATGGCTGAACTATTTAAAACTAAGCCCCCTACAAAAATGTGTGTAGGGGGAGGAATTATTGGGCTACACATGAATATATAATAGGCTGTCAATATTTTATTTGTTAAAAATTACTATAAAAAGAGAATACAGTAGCCAAATGAAAAAAATATATAAAGTATCACAATGGCTTAATGGTTTTATTTATACTTTTTTTTAAAATTAATGACACTGAAAATGTGTCATTATCATTTATTGTTATTCATCATTTGACCACTTTGTGAAGTTTTTAATAATGAAAATGCAGCTCACCACCCAGGCTGGCATCCCATTGGGAGGCATTAGTAGGTTTATGAAAATAAATATTGCTTAGTTTATTTACATAGCACATTTCAGCAAGTTCTTTAACATACATGAAAACATAAATCAAACCAAAACACTACATTGCAGTGGCATAATAAAGGAAAATAATGAAAAGATGGAATACAGACTAACATTGACAGAGTTCCAGTATGTTAATTGAAGGGAACTCTAAGCAAGTTGTGTTTGTGCCTTGATTTAAAAAAAAAAGAACTCAGTGTTTCAGCAGTTTTGCAGTTTTCTGTAAGTTTGTCCCAGGTTAGAGGAGCATAAAAAGTGAATCCGATTTCTCTGTGTTTGGTTGTAATGGGGATGTAATGGGGATGTAATGGGGAGACCAGAACCAGAAAACATGACTGATCAGGAAGGTTGATGTTACAACAGACTGTTACAGGGCTTCATTGAGGGATTTTTATAAACCAGCAAAAGTGTTTTAAAGTCTATACTCTGAGCTACAGGAAGCCAGTGTAAGGTATGCAGAATTGGGGTTATGTGCTCTATCTTCCTATTGCTGCAGCTCATTAGCTTCTTAGGCAGATGTGTAAATACATTAACTACACATATATTTGAATAAGTTAGATTTCTCTTTTTGTTGATGAAAATTTTGATCAGTTTTAATGTGATACATATATACATGCCTTGCATATTTTAAGGGAGCTTGACACTATCCACTTCTGTCCACACGGTGGCGCGGTTTGACCGTCTCTTGGAAGCGACCCCCTCTGATCCAGTTCAAGGTTAACGTCAATAAACTTTGCACAGCTTTGTCATGTGTATTTTAACGAAAATGACCCTTTACGGTGCAATTTTTTTTCTGTCACAGAGGCTGGAATATGTCAGGGCTATTTGTTATTATTTTATTTATGATTATAGTTTACAGATAATAAAAACTAAAAACTCAGTGTCTCAAAAAATGTAATATTGAGAAAACGTTAAATATTGAAAATTCCTGGTGTCACACCCTATTCAGCTAATTAGCTGTTTCGCCTCTGAATGGTCTCTCAGTCTGGGTGGGAGAAATATTCAATCATGAGAACTAACTGTACAAATGTTCAGAAAGCAGTCACTGACACTCTTCACAAGTAGGTTAAGCCACAAAAAGTAATTGCAAAACAAGCTGATTGTTAACACAATGCTGTATCTAAGTATGTTTATTGAAAGTTGAGTGGAAGGAAAAACTGAGGTAGGAAAAGGTGTATCAGCAATACAGATTACCGCAGACTGGAGAGGATTGTCAAACTTCACAAGAAGTTGGCTGAAATAATAATAATAACAATACATGTTATATATAGGCACATTTCTTGGCACTCAAGGCCACCTTGCGTCATCAAGCATAGAAACAGGCACTACATTATAAGACTCAGTAAAAATGATTACAAAAACAGAATGTAAATAAGACATTGCAGTTGTGATCAGAGGGTGCAAGCTAGCTTAAACAAGTTTTGAGTTAGGATTTGAAATGTGGAAATGTGGAGTGGCTGAATGCTCTGGTTCCCATGGTAACAAGGCAGGCAGGGGGGGCATCCAGCAGGAAGTTTAGTTAGTGATGCACCAGCAGGTGCCAGTCCACCTGCTGGTTTTGGTCCGCTGGGTTTTCTGAAGGTCACAGTCAACGTAGATGTCCACCAGTCATGTTTTCTTCCGCTGACAAACTTTATGGAGGGGCTGATTTACTTTTCCAGCAGGACTTGGCACCTGTACAAACTGCTAGAGGTTCCAAAAACTGCTTCAGTTTCCATGGTGTTATGTTGATTTATCGACCAGCGAACCGACCCAAACGAGTCTATGAAGTGCAGTCAAGAGGAAGCAACCTGAGCTTCCATTACAGCTTGAGGTTAAGCTTGTGCTCAAATAAATCGTCTCAGTGTAACATCAACTGAAGGTGTACGTCTGTCTGGTGTGTTTGGTTAAAACATGCTTATTCTTCATTCAGCGAAGGAACTAGAGGTGGGTAGATTTGCCAAAAATTGACTTCAAATTAAAGTAACATTCTTCAACAGTAAAAGTAATAAGTGCGGTGCAGTAAAGTGCAGAAGCATTTTTTAAAAGTTATTAAAAGCAAAGTAACTTGCTACTCGTCTAATGGCTGTTTTCTTCAACACGTACTATTGCCAACCGATGCACTGCCTACCTTTGTCCATGGAGTGGCGCTGTTTCTCCATGTAACTTGTTAGAGCAGAGACGCCGCTTTCCACACTTCCATCCAAAAGTCGGTCGACTCCGCCGACCAACTCAACAGGAACTGACGTCTCCTTTGTGCAAGTGGATGGAAAAATGCAGGCTGCAGGAAAAATGGCTCCAAACACCGGACCGCTGAAAGGTGAGAAACAAACCTTTTCGCACAGCACGTCTTTTAGGAAAAGTTCAACTTTGTAGATGCGTTATGTTAGCGGTTGTACCGTCGTCGTATGTGCCCGCTTCCCGTTTGAGGAAAGCCTGCATTTGTTCCCTGTTGTGGTTAGTTGGCGAGAACAAGCTGGCAGTTGTCTTGAGTACTTTTAAATTATTAAACCGTTGGCACTTAGAGCTGGGAAGAGTGGCTAAAGTAGCGTTTGTTTGGGTGAAGTCAGTGGCGTTTGTGTAAACATGGGGTTTGTTGCTACTGGCTCAGCTGGTTTAGCAGCTAAGTTAGCCTAAAAAGATCTCCCAAAGTTGGAGTTTCACTAAAGCGGCTACCAAAAGTAGCGAAAAGTGGCTATCTGTGCTAGGTTACTAAGTTCGGCTTTTGGCAATTGTTGAAGTTGCGTCATGCTAACAGCGACCTAGCTTTGATTTGAAAGAAGTCAGCCTGGCAAAAACGCCAAACAAAGGTGACATAATGCCAATATAAAACCATAGTTTGTGGTCAAGTGACAGAGTAGCGAAGCAACTGACCTAAGAATGTGCTTTGAGTTCGTATTCTGCAACTGTATTTGATGACGAACGTATCCTAAACTGATTGTATCTCTATTATTTTTCTCGATAATACATCACGTGTTCCCTTTAAACGCAGTTGTAATACAAACTTAAGTAAGGTGGTTGGCACAATTAACTTTTTCATTTATTTATGCACTTATCATGAAAAGAAAATTGTAAGAATGGAGTTTGTAATATTTAGCTACAGTTTATTGACTCAAACATTAGATTGTGTCATTAAATGTTGCATGACTTGGTTACATATTTTCCTCTTTAAAAATCTTAAAGAGGCTGCACTTTGATCAGCTGCACCGTATAGTGCTAACCTCTGCAATTTTTTTTCTCACAGCCTCAGGAAACAAAATATTACATTTAGGTCTAAATTTAAGGTGAGAGTTCAAGTGTATATGTTGACTCATAACTGTAAAAACAACAGCAGATTTGCGGTTTTAAATGTATTTTCTGTTTTATTTTTAACAACTGTGTGACTTGTCCATGCATTAACATAACACGCATAACAAACTATGTAGCTTTCTGGGAGGATGTCCTATCAAGAGTAAACACTGCATTTATTGTTTCATTAAGCAAGACTTTTTAAAAGATTACTCAGAGCTTTTGAATGGCTTTAGAATACCTGGAAAACATTTTATTAACACAATGTCTCTGCGGTGCTGGTTACTGTTATCAGGATGCACTGTGGTGTTAAAACGTTACGATTTCAATGATGCTGTACATTTCCATCCTTTCAGAAAGATTCCTGAAAAATGCGCCTCAAAGTCAAAAGCTTGCTCCAGTTGTATTCAAAATTAGTAAACCTTGCAAAAGCGACAATACTAGTAAATATAGTGATGAAAATATCACTTGCAAAACATTTAAGTTTTATTCTTTCATCTCGTTCTTATTTGGGCAATGTCATTTCTGTCTGCTGCAAGCAGTAGCATGTTAAAAAAATCCTTATTCATAACACTTGAAATATATTAGCCAGCAACAACTGCACTCAACAGAGTTATTGCAATATTGGTATTAAGCCTGTTGCAATAAGCAATAACTCAATGGAACTAAATTAAAACGAGCTTTATGATCTCTTTCTTTTGACAAAAGTCTTCAATCTAGTGCTTTTGGTCTCAACTAATCTTTATTTTTTAAGTGCAGTTTTATTTACAGAGACGTCAGTATTCATTTTATTTGTTATGTTTTGTTTGAAATATTTTGGATATTTCAAATATCTCCCTGTTCCAATGTTAAAAAGTTAATCAGAAATTAAAGTTTATTGATCTTTGAGGGGGTGTGCTCGCATTATTATGCCTTTGCTGTTATATTACTTAAAAATGGTCTCAAAAGGACAATATTATCTTTTTATCACAATAACTTCTGGGACAATTTATCGTCCAGCAAAATTTGTTATTGTGACAGGTCTGATTGATATTATACATTGTGATATTGCAATGACGATATATTTGCAATATATTATGTAGCCCTGTTATAGAGTAGAATTGCAATGATTGAAGCTTTCTGGCTGATCACCAATTTCTTAAAAAGTCTGACCTGCCTAAATGTAGTCTTTTAGGGAGTTTTTTTTTGTTTGTTTTGTTTATATTTTTTTAACGTTTCTAAATATAGCAACAAATTGGCGAAGGTGGCAACAGTTTTGGGGACTTTTGTAAACGGCACATGTGCAGATGTGACCTGGTGGGTGAAGGTGGGTGGGTCTGTCAGTCAGCCCTCTATCATGGCAGAACAAAAGAGGACACTGGCTGACTTTCAGAGCTGTGTGGGGGAAGAGAAGCTTGGTGGATAAGATCGGTTTCACATGCAAGTATTGGGCGAACGCTAAGGAAATCAGATCCGATTTATCGGTTCACCGCCAACTGCACTGAAACTCAGCTCAACTCACTTCCACTTCACTTACAAAGTATAGACAAAGTATGCCGTTTAAGAATACTGCTGATGTAATAAATCATTGTTGCAATCTGAGAACTGCCTAGTCTGAGAGTTTAGTGTTAGTCTTTGCACTTTTTGAACATACTCTGTAAAACGTAACTTTTTTTTTTTTTTTTGGCCAAATAAGATTAAAGAAATATCACTGACACTTTCTGTAAGTAAATGTCTCTTATTTTGTAATGAATTGGTGTCAAGCCTTATTCGGGAAGTTTTGCTGGACGGCTTCATGGTTCGAGGGGTTTTTGGCACATTTGAATTTCTGTCCTGAAAGTGGCAAAACTGGTATAACAACAAGTGATGCTGTGATCCTACAATGCAGAACTAACCACAGTCAACTAATGTTTATGAAGTTTAGTCACAGGCAAAATTTCTCTTGTTTTTTACATTTTATGTAAGGTGTCTGTTTTGTTTTGTTAGAATATGCTTTTTTATTGTATACAAATAGTGGCACACGGATTACATGTCAGGATACAAGGAATCCACAGAAAACCATTAATGAGAACATGGTCCAAAAATGACAATCTGTATTGATTTTCCTGAGCTGTGTTGCTGTAAAACTCTGGGTCAAACCTAATATATGCAGCCACATTGCCACAACCTGCTGGGGTTCACACAGCTGATAAGACAAGCTTGGGCCGTGACTCTTAACGTAATGCTAACAGAAGGAAAAAGAAGGCTACGATTGAGGGAGGGAGAGAGAAAGAGGGGAGGTTGAGCTTTTCAGCATGCCAAATTCCTCAGCTGCACAATAGCGTTGGGCGAGCCCCGAGTCCCGGCCGGCACAGTCGGCCTTCTCCACCACAACGGGAGGGGAGGCTCAGGAGAGGCCCGCGATGCTTGGGGAGAGGAGGAACTCGCTCAACCCCTGCACTGCAATCGCTCGATGAATGGTTGCTTTGAGGACGCTGCTGTGTCATCCAGCACCACCGTGCCATATGAGAAAAGTTATGTTTGGATTGTTATTGCTAGGGTTGTAAATATGTCAGCCTTCTTTTGTAGCATGAAACGGAGCACTTTCCTACAATTTATGAAAGAAGGCATTGCTAAATAATGGAGAAAATATGAGCAGGTTTAGTAGTAATAAAAATAAACTTGTAGATATGTGAATTAACTGTATTGAGTTCCTGATTAACAGGCTTATCATTGTTTTGTTTAGTCATTTATAGTATACAGGCACTCCCAGGTTTAATATGCACCTTGTGGCGAAGCAGTAAACCTGAATAAAGAAGTGTTTATCGTGACGTACCTTCCTGTATGAATACACGGGGTACTGATTTGAGAGGTCTGACCCACATGATGCCCCGGATTTTATAAGCAGGCTGGCCGAGCAGCATATGTGGCAATTTACAGTCAGTCAATACGCAATTAAAATGTGCTTAAAGCAACAAAGCATTGATGATTTATAAAGGCTTACCATAGCTTAGAAGCTCACTTTAGGTCATTGTTCCTCAATGAAAATGCAACCAAGAACCTCTTCTTCTGTTACAGATCAGTTAGCGCCTTTGCACAATAGTTGAACCGCCAAGATGTGAGCTTTCAGTGCATGCAGCTGGGGTTGTGGAATTAAAGGGGCGTGACTTGCACCACAGAATTCACTTGGAACAGAATTAATAAAGATATGTGCATTAGATTTCCTTGATATTTGTGTGTTGCGATCCTTCCGAAGTTTGTTCAAATGCATGTAGTGTTTTTTGTGCGCCATCCTCACCAATTTTTTTTTTTTTTTTTTTTTTATCAGATTCTGCTGAATAATGTTTATCTCTGATCAGACGAACTCATAAGAATGATCTGGTGGCTCAGATGTGGTTTCCTTTTTGAGTCGTATCGATTGCCACACTTGTTCCATTTCATGTCAGGACTTTCAAGTTGAGCCAAAAAATAAGTGTGGATTATGCAACGAAAGTATCTTATGAAAAAACCTTGAGATGCATGTAGGACTTGATTGACCAGTCCTGAATGATCAGAAATTCAGTAAGAACATAGGTCATACTAAGAACACTCTTTGGTGTTGATGTTTATGGAAGCAGACTTAAAATTATTATTATTATTATTATTCTTTTAATCAGTGATGTCTAAAACGGTGTGCTGTTTAAAGAACTGTTTAATACAGGGTGTTCACACATCCTTAAGAAGTCTTAAATTCATATATCTAAACGCTAAGGCCTTAAAATGTCTCATTTGTTGAAAAAAATGGAAGTTGGCTTTACATTAAGGTATTAATCACAAGTATTAAATTTTGTGACGGCGGCACTATCTGATCTTGTATATGTAGTTTTTTTTTTCTTGGAGGACTCTTCTGTCAGGTCAAAGCTTGAGCAAGAAATACTGCTGACACCTGTAGGTGGGAGTTAGCGCTCGCTTAAACCCAATGTTCTTGGCCATTTTTGTGGAAAATTTTCAATAAACTCACTGTGAAGCATTAGCGTAAAAATAGGGCAAGATCTGTTGATTTTGCGTAAGTTTCTGCGATTGCGACAAACTGGAGGGACTGTATAATTTGCAGAGTGAAATCACTATCAGAAAATTAGTTTTATAAATGGTGATGATTGCATATCTACTACAAAATTCTGACAACTGCATATCTGGATAGGAGTTTGGTGTGGCTGGTTATTAGATCTTCTATTTATCTTGTTTTGAATAAATTTTGCCATTTTTTTTAAAGTGTAATTTATTTCTTCTCTTTTTTTTTTTTAGGTGTTTAAATCTCTGCACGGCAACCCTTAAGGCCACACTGACTTGAAAGCTGTCATACTCATGGCTCCCTCCACTTGACAGAATGGCCCAGGCACATAATGCTAATGGGTTCAAGATGGATGTCCCCAAGCCAAAGGGGGCTGTGGGTAAGGAGGAAGCCCTCCGCATGGAAGAAGAGGCAATGGCTAAACTGAAACGGGATAAGAGACATACGGTTTCAGTTTTAACTCCTTCATCTTCCTCCAAACCTTCAAAGTTCTCCACGACTACTGCTGCTCCTCAGCCTTTTCCTTCTGCGAATGTACCTGACAAGGACCTCATCGACTTCCCAGAAACTAAGAAGCAAGCAGAGGGGGACAAGTTCAGGGATATCGATGTGGACAAGCTGACTAACGCAGAGCTTGAAAAGCTCCTACTGGATGACAACTTTGGCGTCAACAGCAAAACGTCTCGCCCCGCTGCGCTGCTGGGCTTCAACCTCAGTGCCTCTTACCCTGGAGGGAATCCCTGTAGCTCCTCTCCTTTCCAGAGCAGTCAGTGGACATCAGTTCTGCCCAGCCAGTCTAACTCTAGTGTGAGCACTCCAACCCATCAACCTACTCCGCTCTTCCCCTCGGCTCCCTTTCCCAAACCAGGCACGTTTCAAAATGGCTTCACTCCACCCATGTCGTCCTTCTTGCCCCTTCCGCCTCAGCAGCCATCCTTCATGGCGTTGCCTCCCATCCAGGCTCCTGCAGCCATGGTCTTCTCAAAACCAACAGTGGACCCGGAAATGGCAAAACTGTTCGACAAGATCGCAAGCACCTCGGAATACTTGAAGAACGGCAGATCCACCGGCATCGACGTGGACTCTTCACATGTCGGCGTGGCCTCTCTGGCGCCCAACCCACCGCCTCAACAGGCAGTGGTCACAGAGTCTTCTCACATCGCCCACTTTAAGTGGCTGGATCTGGACCCGCTCACGAAACGTAAAGCCGAGAACGAGCAAGTGTCTGTGGCGTCGGAAAGCGACGTTCAGGTTGTACCGGGAGTTTCCGCAGGGGACCCTTGGGATGCCGTGCTCGAAACGGAAGGGAACAATTCCGGTGGCAGAGGCAGCCCGAGCTTGGAGGGGAAAGTTTCACAGTCAGTCCACTCACAGCACAGGAGAGCTTCAACAGGGGCACCTGTTGCTAGGAGTCACTCGCTCAATATCCCTGGGACGTCTTCCCAGCAGAAAGCAAGTAGTCAGGTAAGGGCACACAAGGCTAATTTATAGGCAGTCAACTTTAGCTATTTGTAATTTTGACAGACACATAACCCTTTAACCTATTATGTTCAAGACAGTTCTGGAGTGTTGGTGCTCTGCTCATGTTGTATATCAATCAGGGAAGAATTAGACAAACAAGATTGGACTTAATTAGGTCACTTACTTCATATGCTAGTAACCCTGATGAGATTAATTGCATGATAAATTAAAATGAGCTCAATAATTTCCATTCTGATTTTCTGTTTTTTTATTTTCTTTTTATTTAGTGTATCATAAGCCTGGCAGGCCGCCAGGCTTTACTTACCCGCTTATCATACTTACAGTTGTTTGTTTATTTTAAATTTACTTTTTTATAGAATCAGAAAGACGGATTAAGCTAGGTTTATAGTTTACTGGATTATTGTTTATCACAGTAATAACTGGGACAATTTATTGTCCAGCAAAATATATTATTGTGGCAGGCCTACATGCAAGTGCCCCGGCACCTGCTGTTGTAATTGCTGATGTTGCAAGAGTGTACACCCATGCTAAAATGCCAGACTTATGTTTTGCGAAATATGATCAAATGTGACAAACTCTTTAATTTGAGATATTCTGTACAACCCAACCACTAAAAATCCCCCTCAAAAAGTATGGACTTTTAAGGTTTTTATTTATTTAATTGTCTTCTATGGTAGCAGTTTATCAGCTCACCACACCTTGACCTAGGCACATTTCCTCACACCATCTTGCCATATTCTCTAACTCTATGAGATTCTCTGGACATTTCTGCTTCACTACCTTGTTCAGCTAAAAACACATTTTCTTTTTCTTTTTCTTTTATTACAATCACCTTAGCAAAACCCCCAGTTGAGTCTGATCATGATGCTGACACCCTTATGTTTTACTTTGCTTATGTTGTTGTTCCTGCTTAAAGTGGTTCATATTCCAGATTTACTTTTGTGTAGAAGTTTCCCAAAGGTTTAGATTTGATTTCTTCATAATATAACACACTATCCCCACACAGTCTTGGGAGATTTTAGGCAGATCTCTACTGGTTGAAGATGATCAGGCGACAGATTTCTTCCCACCATACTTCTTATTCCAGACATTTAATACAGGAGCATGCATTTATTTGTAGAGCACCTTCACTACTTGCTAGAAATTCCTGCAGATCCTTCAGTGATTTTTTTTTCAGCATTCTGCCAGTCTGTCAGTTTTAGAAAAACATCCTTTTTTTTTTAGTAATGTCACCACAATTGTGGCAAAAGCTTTCAGTTTTTTTGTAGACTGTTTAAACCAGATGACAATGCTATGTGGATGAGGGTTTTGCTAAACTCAACTAAATTCAACTGCTAGCACCATTGTGAACATTTTTTTTTATCATCTTCAACATCTATCACTAAGTAATGTGCTGCTCTTTTACTGTAAGGAAGTTTATCATTGCCAATGATGACCTCACAGAATTTCACTTCCACAAAATCCAAACCAACACTTCAACACTCCAACCCTCAGTGGCTTTTTGTTTTTGTATGTTTTACATGTTGTTCCTACACAGGCCTTATATTGAACCATTCATTTGATGCAGATGACCCATGATCCCTGGGTTTGGACACTACTGCTGCTGTATAAACTTGAATATTTTTTTTGTTAAAACAGCTGAATTAATATATGACTTGCACAAGATAACCATTTATAATGGGTATATTTTTGTTTACCTCCCAAAAATCTTGTGTTTTAAGAGACGCAGATACTTCTATGATCTGCTGTAAGATTTTGATGCAAGTAATAAGGACAGTGCTTTAGGCAAGAGTCATAATAGAGGTCTGCCATCTGTCAATATGGCCTCTATCTGCGCCGAGTCAAGCTGAAACCAGTCACTCTGCGTAAACGTGGTGCTTTTAATGTCTAACCCTTCGACTGTATTAGCTGTTTTGTGAAATGATTAACTCTCACAGATCACTAGTTACTAAAATACTTAGACTTTTATGGAGATAAGGTTTGTCATTGCTCTTGATTTTTAGTTTTTTAAAGTGATTTTGTTTTGTGAGGGTGTTTTCGTTGGGTCATTACGCCCACTTCCTGCTGATTGTTTTTAGATTTGTCCTGACCAAAGAATTTTTCTCTGTTGCACTTCCTCACACCATGATGAGAATTAACTCTCCCAACAGTACACGTTATATTTTCTTTCCAGAATACTTTTGTTTTTTGTTTCTTTTTTTACAGCTGCAACAAACAAAATATCATAACTGTTGAAAGTAAAAAAAACATGAGTGAGACATTGATAATGTCTCACTCATATTTCCATTGAGGACTCTGAAGATTTAGTTTTTCTCTTTATCAAAGGCAACTCGTCCAGTGCCCACACCCCGGAGAGGATTCCAGGGCTGAGGAATGTCTTTATTCTTGAAATGATGAAGCCATGCTTGTTTACTCTTGCCCATATGTTATGTCTAGGTTTGCAAATGTTTGTTGCTGAAACTACTAATGTTTCGCAGTTTGAGC